CAATTGTAATAATTATTATATTTAGTTAAAAAAGTAAATGAATCTTCATTTAAATTATAGAATGCAAATTTATAAAAATGAATTTTTTGGCATTTCAAAAAATATTGAATTGCTTTATCATTTTCAATTTTGAAAACATCACCAGTTGAAAACATGCAACCCAATTTAAAGCATGCTTCAGGATGATTTAAATTAGATGCTAATTTATAATATTGATAAGCCATATAATAATCTCGTTTCACACCTTCTCCATTAAAATACATATCTCCTAAGTATAAAAAGGCTTCAGGATTATTTTGTTGTGATGATAATTCAAAATATTTTTTTGCTCTCAAATAATCTTTTTCAACGCCATGACCTTGATAGTATAAGTATCCAATATTAAATAAACCAAGAGTGTTATTTGATTTAGCTGATCGTTCATAATAATATTTTGCCTTTTGGTAATCTTTTTCAACATCAAATCCATTGTAATATATATTGCCCAGCCCTAAAAATCCATTTGAATTGTTTTGATCTGCAGATGATTCATAATATTTTCTTGCACGTAAATAATCTTTTGGAATATCATATCCATCATAATATAGATTTCCAAGATAGTAAAATGTGTTTGAATTATTACTTTCTAATAACCTTTCATACGTTCGTTTTGCTTTCAAAGTGTTTCTTTCTACACCATCGCCAAAATAATAAAGATTGGCAATAAAATTATAAGCTTCATAGTTATCATTCTTTTCCAAAGATAATTTATAATATTTATATGCTGTTGAATAATTTTGCTCAACACCATTACCAAAGTAAAAAAGATGTCCTAAAAAGGAATAAGCATCTTTATTTGGACATTGTTCTTTAAATTCTTTATTATATATTTGAATATTTTCTCCAAAAACTAAATCATTTAAAAGTGATTTTTGTTCTTTATAAATTTCATTATAATCATTAATTTTATTATGATTGTTTTTTGGTTTTTTATATAAATCATTGCAATATTTGGATGTCATATCTCGTGGAACACTACATTCAAATAAGATACTTGCTAAACCTATTTGATATTCATAACAACATATTGTGGCTGCAATTATAGAGTATTTCAGTGATTGTATGGATTTAACACCGGGATATTCATTACTAAATTTACCATTTAAAAAAAAATACCCTAACTTAAGAAAAGCTTTTGCCTTTTTTACTTTTGTATATAATTCATTATTTTTTATGACTTTAGAAATACTTTGTTTCATCCTTTCACAAATAATTGGTAATTTATCTATTTCTTTTGTATTTCTTAGCAGCGAATTTAATTTATTTATTTCAGCTAATGAAATATTTATGCTCTTTTGATAAAAATAATCAGAATTATTTTGATTATCAAATAGTTCATGAATTTTTTTAGCTTTTTTAAAATCTTCATTTAAACTACCATATTCTGAAAATTCTCTTACATCTGAAGTTTTTTCCAAACTAGAAAGAATTTCAATTGATTTAGGAGAGAGTGGGCTTGTTTTGAATGATTTGATTTCATTTATCAAAATTGATTCCTCATATAATATTTTGGCTCTAAGATAATTTTTTTCAACACCCAGGCCAAAACAATAAATATTCCCTAAACTAGTAAAAGCATCAGGATTATTTTGTTTCGCTGATAACTCATAGAATTTCTTAGCTTTTTGAATATTTTTAACAACACCTTGGCCATTATAATATATATCTCCTAGTTTTAATAAAGCTTCAGGATTATTTAATTTGGCAGATAATTCATAATACTTCTTTGCTTTTTTATAATTTGGTTTAATATCAACTCCATTCGAATAAATATCTCCTAGTCTCAAAGATGCTTCTGAATTATCTAACTTTGAAGAGATCTTGAAAAATTTAATAGCTATTTTAATACACGGTAAAATTCTTTCACAGTTGTGATATAAATCTCCTAATAAACTGATTGGATTAAAAATATCTTTTTTATTCAATTTTAATAATGCATCATATCTTTTCACTTGGTTATAATTGCTAATAATGTTTTCGGGAGATATGTCAATATTTATGAATTGGTCCATACTTATTTCAAAATTTAAATAATAAAATTCATCTCTATAAAGAATATTATCATTATCAGAAAGATTATTGAGTATTCTTAAATAAAAGTTTTTATTTTTTCCTTCTAATTTTCCTTCAAAGTTTTGTGGAAGATGAAATCTTATTTTATAATAAGATTCATATAATTTTTTGGCTTTTGCCCAATCAGTATTTATTATTTGGCCTAAAAAATAAATATTTCCTAATTGTAAAAAAGCAAATGGATTGTTTAAATCCGCAGATAATTGATAATATTTTATTGCAAGTTCATAATATTTAATATTATAATAATAATTTCCTAAATTAAACAATGCTATGGAGTTATTTTTATAAGCTGATTGTTCATAATATTCTTTTGCTCTTCGATAATTTTGTTTAATTCCTTTTCCAAAATAAAAAATATTTCCTAATTGTAAAAGTGCAAAAGAATTATTTTGTTCCCCTGCTTTTTTGTAATAATACCTGGCTTTATAATAATCCTGTTTATAAAAACCAAAATAATAAAAATGTCCAAGATTTAAAAAAAGTGAAGAATAGTTTTTTTCATTGACCAAATGTAACAAATCACTAAAATAAAAAACATTAGAAATGTGGAAAAAACTTTTTTTTGGGAGAAATATGCATCTTTCTACTATAAAATCAATTATAGTAGAATTATCAACAATAACAGTTTCATTTTTTAACAGAATATTCTCAAAATAATAAAATGAATCAAATTCGTCGTTTAAAATTTTATTGATACTTGAAACACTTGGCCTTTTATTTGGATCATCTTTAACGCACGAATAATAAAGATTTCGAATATTATTAGATGCACTCGATAAAGGTAAAAATTGAATATTATTAGTACTAGAATTATTATTAGGATTTTTCTTTTCATATAAAAAATAAATGATTTGCCCAAAAGAAAATATATCTGTTGGATATGATGTACATTCTCCTTGATATTGTTCTGGGGATGTGTACAAAAGAGATCCAATATCATTAGTGAAAAAAGAACTGTTTTCATTTTCACAACAAGGATGACGTATTGTTTCAAAGTCAGAAATATATGGTAGAAAATTATGATCAATAAGTATATTAGATGGTTTGAGATCTCGATGAATAAGTTTTTGCGATTGAAGATATTCAATTCCTCTAAAAATTCGGCATATTGTTAGCAAAGAATATAATTCTGAATATTGGCATTTATTTGATGTAATGTAAGAAGAAAGTGTACCATTACTCATATATTCATATACAACTCCAATAATTTGTTCTTTCTCTTTTATAAATCCATAAAAAGGAACAAAACAATGATGATGATAGTTTTTACAAAAATCAATTTCATGATTGATTTTCGCATCAGGATAAATTATTTTTATCATGAATATATGAAAGCTTTTGCAATGAATACCTAATCTATATTGTGCATTCTGGTTATTATGCAATATTCTCAAAAAAATAAAGTCTTTTTCTTTGAATTCTTGATATCGTTTTTCATCATATTGAAAATTTACGGATTTGCTTAAATCGTCAATAAAACTTGTCAAATTGTCATATTTGGTATTGATTATTTTAGTTATTTGCTTTTTATCTGCTGGATTAATGTACTGATTCATAAAAAATGTCTGATCTCTATAGAAATATGATGGATAAAAAAATCTTCGTATAATATAGCCGGCAATTGATGGTAATGTGTATCTAACAAATTCATTTTTCTTGATTTCATATAGAAAATTTGAACAAAAAATGTTAATTTCTTCTTTTGCTTCATTCTCTTCAGTTGTTTCATTATCGTTTTCTATAATCGTGGTAACATTAAGTATCGAAATTTGCCCTTCTTTTAGCTTTTGGAAGATTTTTCTGATCATTTGACGATTTATTCTTTCAATAATTAAGCATTCTCCTTCAGTACATATTATTACATTTATTAATTCTGAACATAATTCTAGATTTGAATGTAATTTAAAGAAATTTTTTTTATTTGGTAATTGATAATGATATATTAAAAATTTTGGATTTTTTAAGTGGCTAAATAAAAAATCTTCAATATTACTTCTATTTTCATCGTAATCATTGCTTGTTTCGCTTTGATCGTTACACAAAAAGTATAAATAGTTGAATTTGGAATATAAATTCAGAATAGATTCATTCCTTATACTACTTAGCATACACTCATATGTCTGTGGAATTTTGAGAAAAGAAATCTTGCTCATTTTCTTGTAGCTATTGAGATTAAAAATTTTATGCTAAGGGTGCTTTTCCCTCAATTTTTTTTAAAAAAAAAGAATGCAGATATACAAATAAATATAAAGTATTTTAAAATATATTTATATAATATAAAATATATAATGGTATTTAAAAAATATATTGAATAAAATATATATTAATAATCTTTTGTTTCAAGATTTTTTATAATTAAGAGTTTTTTGTAAGCCTTGGTTTTTGTATTTACAATTGTATACAACTTGTCCGTTTAAAAATTACAATTGTAATTACAATTGTAAATACGTTATTTTCTCTATATTAGTTTTTTATTTTTATCTTGATCTACAATTATTTTTTTATATTAAAAATGTTTTTAATAATTTAAAAATAAAAAGATAAAATAGTAAAATGTTTTTCAAATTAAATAATATTATTTTTGATTCTTCATAAAATAAAAAAAAATTTATTCGCATTCAAAAAGTTTCCTTAATACTACAAATCAAAAAATCGTTATTTTACGAAAAAAGACGTTAAAAAGACGTTTATAGTACTTGTGATGTAAAAAAAATAAGGCCTAGTTTTTTGACACATAGAAATACATCCATAATTAAGTATATTGATTTCAGTGAGAATAAATAAAGAATACTCATTGTAGGAATAAAAAGATAATTCAATATAGAATATTTCTGAGCAAATTTATACAAAAAAAAAAAAAAAACGTTTTTAAAAAATCAAAAAAATGTCCAAGGACGGAATCGAACCGCCATAAGATCTGTGTTAGAGATCCATTCTAACCATTAAATTACTCAGACTCTCTTGCAAATATACTATTCAAAATTATTTAATTGAAAATATATAAAAATTACTATTTATTAAATTACTATATTAAAATTAAACAAAATTAATAATTATTTTATAAGGCTTCTGGATCATCTTCTTCTTCCTTTTGTTCAGTTGAGTCTTTTTGTTCATCATCTTTATCATCACCATCATTTTCCTGTGGTTTTGGCTCATGAACACAAAAAGCAGAGAAAATAATGGCACAAAATGAAATGCATAAGAAGAAAATGAGAGCTCCAAACATTCCCATTCCATCTTTCATTGAAGGCCAGACCATGATGACGAGGAATGAAAAGATCCAATTAGCAGCTGTAACAATCATTGTGGCCATTGAACGAACATCATCATTGAAATATTCTGGGATAATGAACCAAGGAATTGGTCCCATTCCAAGTCCGAAACCTAATTGATATAAGAAGATACATATTAAAGGGAGAACGTTTGACCAATCGTATTTGACATTCAATGCGAAAATTAACAAGAAAACGCAAATCATACAGCAAGATATGATCATTGTTATTCTTCTTCCAATTTTATCAATAATCATGGCACCAACAAAAACTGCAATTAATTGGGCACAGCTTGCAATTCCAGCTTGATAATTTCCATCGATATCTAATCCAGAGTCATTCATAATATCAGACAAATTTGTCAAAATTGCGTTAATTCCACAAAATTGTTGGAACAACATCATCAAAATACCAGAACATAATCCAAAAGCGTATTTCTTTTGCCATAAAGTTTCTTTTTTCTTTTCATGATCATTGTTCTTCATTTCTTCTTCGTCTTTGTTGATTTTTTCAACCGCCGGAGACTCTTCAACCAGCCAAATCAGGCAAGCTTGTAACGCACAGATAGCAGCTCCGATGTAATTCAAATCCATGTAGTTTAGAGAAGGAGCGATGAAATCGAAGAAGACCATACCAATTACGATACCGATTTGATTCAAGCTTCCAAAGAATCCGGTTGTTCCCTCTGGTGCAATTTCAACTAAATACATCGGATTGATTGACGAATAGGCGCCCATTACGACTCCCAAAAATAATCTGATAACAATACCTGCCCAAATGTTTACTTTAGTGAGACAATTAAGTAGCCAGAAAACAACACCGAGGCAGGCACATGTAAAAACAACCTTCTTTCTTGAATTGTGGTATGCCTTCAGGAAGCCGACTGTTACAAATGGACCTGCAATTGCAAATAATGATGAAACTGAATTGTAAAAAGACCATTGTGCTGCATTATCTGATAATCCAAAGTGTTCTCTGATTTCTTTTCCTGTCGGTGATGGATAACACATGATAGTGCCAAATGTGATTGGACCCAATAAGAGAATCATTGCATAACCAAGTTCTTTAACACAAATATTCATTTGTTTTTTTGTTTTGTAAATTTAAAAAATGATATGTTTCTTCCCTTTTGCTTTTTTTATTCGTTCTCATTCATTTTTTATTATCATTTTATAAAAAATATTCAAAGTTTTTATGTTTATTTGATTATTTACAATTTTGAGAAAAATCAAAATTTTCTTACTGCTCTTTTATTGAATTATTGAAAGGATTATTTTTTCAAAATTTTCATTAATTCAAAAAATATTTATTACGATCATATCTTTTTCAATTTCAAAAAAAACAAATTACAATAAACGGATAATACTTTTAAAGATTGCTTTATGAGTAGAAGTTTTTTTGATAAAACATCATGAAGAATCATTATATATGATTTTATTTTTCTGATTTTGGAGGTAGGTGATTTTATAATACTATCAAATTTAATATAAAAATAATATTTATTAGTAAATTGAAATCATTTAGATTTCTCATTTCATTTTACCATTTGTTTATGTTTTCTTATCTTCAAAATTATATTTTATAAATTTTATTAAAAAAAAAAAAAATAGTAGATAGAGTATTTTGCAAATTTGAACAAAGATAATGTCATCAATTTGATTAAGTTTAAAAAAAAAAAAAGAAAGATTTTATATATAATTTCCTATATTGAAAAAGCTCAAAGCTTCCACTCAGCTCAGTCATGAATTATTTGAAACGATACAGTAAATGGAATAGAAAAATCGACATTAGAATCAAAATTGTTCAAAATACCGATTGAATAATATGAAGAAAATATGATACAGAATTAGGAAAAGAAAAGAAAAAAATTCTAGATCTTTTCAAAAATGATAATATTGTTTGCAGTAAAGAAAAAATTCAAGGTAATATTCGGCATTCAAAAGATTTTACCTTGAGTTTATTAAAATTTTTCTGTGTACAACGATTGAAAATTATTCGAAATCATATCCAAAATCGATGAAAAAAAAAATTTGTGTTTGTTTTTTTTATAAAAACATGTTTGATTTAATAAAGAAAAAAAAAAATGATAATAGTTCCAACTCTTTCATATGTTTTTTTTTTTTTCATTAAGAATGCAGTCAAAGAGAAATTTAAAAAGTAAATGGCCAGTTCATACTACATAATAATTTTTTACTAGGACACATCGAGACTTGCTTGTTAGCTAAGAATATCTCAAATATCCATTTTTAATAAATAACCAAATATTATATATTATTTACGCACAAATAGGAACATATGTATGCATGAGATCAATGCGATGCTTCTATTTAGATAATTATTTGACATTTTTCTTTATAAAAAAAACAATATTTTTACTCTTTTATAACTTTTTGAAGTTCCTCAAAAAGTATATTATTCTTCACAAATTTTTCAAAAGTTCTTAAATTGTCGAAAATTAGTTTTTAATTACAGATTCTGTTAAAAAGAAATGTAAATAACTTGTATCAAATAATATAATGGAAATGATAAACGGTATAAATTAAGAATAAATATTCGTTATTTACAATTTTTTTGGCAAAAAAAAAATCACATTATTTTAGAAAATTCCTTTTTATTCTTGAAATAAATCAAATTTTAAAGTTTAAAAACTTTTAATATTTTATATAATGAAAATAATTCTCTATAATTATTTATTTAATAAGAAAACATAATTTAAAATAATAAATATAAAAATTGAATTAAATTGAATTGAACCCCAAAATAATGGGGTTCCACATTCAATTTTGGTATTAATATTTTGCGTTTATAATAGTATTTTTGCTAACAAGTCAATAAATTTTTTTAAATTTCTTTATTAAAAATAGATATATATATATATAAAATTATATTATAAAAAAAATTATTAAATATTGATAAAAACAGATAATATTTATCTAAAGTACTTGCAAATTTAATAAAATAATAACTTGAAAAATGTTATAAATATTTTAATAATGTATTAATATAATTATTTAATGATAATAATATCAATATGAATATAGAATAAATACTTATCTTATCTTAACTTTTTGAAATATACGAAAAAAAAGTAACTTTTTGATAATAATATCCGTTTCTCAAAAAGTTATATTTTGATAAGGTTAATTCAAAATTTTGAATAGAACTTTCAATTATTAATTGAAAAGATTATTTATAAAAGTTTATAAATGTCTCAAGATCCAAAAAAGAGAAGATCAACATTTGCACCACAATCTCGTAGATTCACTGTTGTTGAACTAAAACATAAGAGAATTGAAATGTCAAAATACAGATCAATAGAAGATATTACAGGTGAGCATCTTGACGTTAATATTGCAGCTTTACTACCACCTCCGCCAGGTTATTCGATTAATGACTGGATAATTATTAATCTTGTGGATTTCTTAAAAAGAATTGAATTGCTCTATTCATCATGTTCACTTTTTTGCACATCAGACACATGTCCTCATTTTGGCGCTGGTCCTCGATATAATTACTTATGGTTAGATGATGATTCATCCAAATCCCTTCAAATCTCAGCTCCAGATTATTTTGATGCATTGAAAAGATATATCAAAAGAAATTTAAGTAACAAGGCCTTATTCCCAGACAAACTCAAAGGAGAATTTTCTCCTAAAGCTTTAAATGTGATACAAAACTCTTACAGAAGGCTCTTTAGAATGTTGGCCCATTTGTACATTTGTCATTTCAAAGATATAAGTCAGTTGGAAGAGCTTGAAGTTTTTAAAATAATGAATACGGTTTTAACTCATTATACACATATAGCACTTCTTTATCGCGTTTGTGACCTTGATGAATTTAAAGTATTTGAACCAATTTTTAATAATATTAATGCAAATGCAAAGCCAAACTTCCACTGTCCAAAACTGAATTCTAAAAGTATTAAAAAAAAGGATTCTGATAGCAATGCCAATACAAGTTCTAATAGTCAGCCATAACAAGAGAATGATAAGGATTGATCTGATTTGAATTGCTTATTGTTTTAATTTAGAATAATACAAATTATAGAATTAAGAAATTAATTAGTAAAAAAATCATTAATTAAATATTAATATTTTTATTCATCACTAAAATATGGATAGTAATAAATAGTTGCTATGTATTTGAGTGCACGCCCTCTCGATCCAGTGCCTCAAAATAGGGCCTTAAGCAAGTTTTGTATAGTGTTTTACATAATTTTTATTAAACTTTTTCAATATTTTACGCAGTTTTAATAAATAACGATTTTTTGAACTTTATGTAATATGAAAATTAAAAATTTTGAATTTTATAATCAACATCGTTGAGATATATTTAAATGATATGCCTTAACCATTACATTAATAATAAATCAGATCTTAACATATCGAGTTTTTTATTATTATTATTTCCTATCAAAGCTCTTTTTTGTCGATACAGGAAAACACTTCGCAAAAAAAGCATTGATTTATGCCTAATATATGTTTTTTTGTTAAACAATTTTTCTGGATCGATAAAATTCTTTAATATAAAATTCTAGATAAAGAATTAGTCTTCAAATAGGGCCAACGACGATTGACATTTTTTGGTCTTATAGAATTCCAAATTTATAAGTTTGTATATAGATTCAGTAACTGTTAATAAATATGCGTCATGTAATTTTACTTACAGAAAAAATTAACTGA